CTTTAGCCTTTACTCAATTTTGCCTTCATAAATGTTTCCTGTTTTGCCTGCTAATTATGTGTAGTCATTGTTAATTTCTGGATTGTTTTTAGATGGGGTTATGATCGAGAATAAGCTTTATGTGGCCTCTCTGGACACCCATATATTTGCACTCTAAGTTTAGTCGGGCACCATTTGCCGTCATCAGCCGACATTTGAAGCCAAAAAAAAAAAACAGGTAAAAAAAATAATAAATCCGCGTCGCCGCACCACTTTTTGGGCAAGCTCCATACCAGAAACCGGAGACTTTTTTTTGGCCTGATAGACTTTACCCTTTTTTGGCTTATTCCATACATGTACTTCAGGACATTTTGTACTGCTAGATGACATGTATGTATTGTACATGTGCATGAGTTCTTTGATAGTTAGAGCACAGCATGGGAAGCACTCATGCATAACAATTAGTAGTGAGTCAGTCCTGGACTAGAGATAAACAGTGAGGTTGAGACATGGTCAGTATCGATTTAGGTGATAGAATCGATTATGTTTATTCAGAAACAGGACAGAATCGATATTATTATCGATACCAGAGTCGATTTTCGAATCATGCTTAGGCCAAAAAAAAAGTCTCCGGTTTCTGGTATGCGCGCGCGTCGCCGTAGCCATGCGCGTCGGCAAAATGAAAAAGTTTTTTTTTCAACGAAAGATGATGTCTCAAAACCGCCAAACTCACTGGTTTGACTGGAATCCTGCTGCTGCACACTTTAAACGTGATTTTAGATGGGGTTATGATCGAGAATAAGCATTGTGTGGCCTCTCTGGACTCGGGCACCATTTGAAGTCATCAGCCGACATTTGAAGCAAAAAAGTCAGGTTAAAAAAAAAGAAAGCCGCGTCGCCGCACCACTTTTTGGGCAAGCTCCATACCAGAAACCGGAGACTTTTTTTGTTGGCCTTATTGAGTTATTTTTTGCATTTGTTTTTACTATTGTGTTGTGATTCTGATTTAAGACTTCGATGAGTCAGGAACATTTACCACACACCAAGCTAAACCAGTGTCCATTTGTCTTTATTCTTGCAGTTTTGCAGTCTTTTTAATGAACACTCTGCAGCGGCTGCTCCCGTGGCCGTTGGGGGGGGGGGTAACATTTGGCGACCACGAAGGGACTCGAACCCTCAATCTTCCGTTGTAGTATAATGTAGGAAAATCTGTAAAACGTATCTGTTTTGTAAATTTTCAACTCCCGTCAGTTGCTCAAATCAGGCTCCGTTTCGAATTCACGTACGAAGGATCGAAATGCATATCATTCGACGCTCAAAACATGCTTTATACATAGGTCATGATAAATTACCCAGAATGCCATCCCCACTTCCCTCACAACATTCTGTGAAGCTCATCTGCCCTTCCCAGCGCCCTGTTTTCAGGGCAGGGGGTACGAGCGAATAATCGACGCTCAAAATTGTGTCCACATGGTCCGCAATGAAACAGAAATCACATCCGGTATGGAACGTGTGCATTTCTATGGGTAGTTTTCGGATAATATTTTCGCACATTGTCTAACTGCGGTTTTGAACAGCTGCCGCCAGATGCTTGATACATATGTCATATATAGGCCAATTCCTTCACAAGATTCTGTGAGGCGTCCTGTTTGCAGGGTGGGGGTACGAGCGAACCCGTGCGACGGTCTACTACGCATGCGCATTTACCCTGTGCGTGAATCCTCGCGCGCACTTGGTAAACAGCAAAAAATAACATCTGGCACGTGTTGATGAATTGACCAGTGAGAGTTCGGCTCTCAATCATGAATATGTATGAGGTATAGTAATACGCGATATCGTGCCCGGCAGTTGTTGCATTACAAAACACTGCATTCGAATTGACCAATCAAATCGTTTAGTCCTGATTTAGGAATGAAATGACGTCACGATTTAGTAAAGTTGACTCCGATTGGCTGGCGCACGGCTTGCATAAATTTAAATGTCAGGAGATGTCAGACGTTGTACAGGATTTGGCTCCGTGGATAACGGGTGATACTCAGATTAGTTTCAAAGGGACCGATGTCGAATATGCCATACTTTAATATGTTAACCAACGTCAGGTGAATATACGTTGGCCCAACATCGGTCAATGTTGGAACAGTCGCAGTCGGCTTGCAGACGTATGCGGATATGCCGACGCTGGCGGTCCATTAAAGTCGACCCGACATCGTTGTTCTGTCGTTGGTAAAAAGTGTATAATCGACGACTTTTTTTCCCGGCCTGCCAACGTTGTGTAAACTTACAATCGGAATGGTACGCCAACAGTCTGCATCATGGGCGTCAATCCCCCACTTACAATATCAAATGTTTGAAACAAGTGTTCGCCTTTTGCAGACCGTAGAACCCTCATTTTGAGCATTGGTGATTGGTCACTGCTCGCGAGCACGGTGCTGTATTGACACACACAACATGTATCGTACAAAGTACATTGACCAAGCGACAGGAAATGTGTATTTTTACACTCTTAAAACTACTTAGTCAAAATATTGACTGGTTTTCCTAGTTATTGAAAATTGACTGTAGGAATTTAATTAAACATGCAAAGTTTCATACTGAAAAGTAGTTGGGTTCGACTCCAAATTCAGTTATTTGCATAACTATTTTTCCCCATATTAATACTGACTGGAAATATCTAGTCAGATTGCCTGATTTTCAGTTGCACCCAGCTGACCCTGAATAGCTAGTCGAATTTCACTGGTTTCTAGTCGAAACTGACTAATGTTTTTTTAGAGTGTACTCCGTAGGGTGCGCTGTAAACACCCGGGGTTTTATCGTCTTTTCTCGCTAACGGTAAGACATTAGGTTGGTTTCTTTTGAACAAGATGTTCGAATTAGGATAAGTAAACGACCCAAAACAGTTTTCCAGGGATTTCAGGACCTACAGGGCCCTCTTAAGCGCCTGCCCAGAACCCCACGTCTATAGCTCAGAATATAGCTGATTCAATGACTTCAACCTCGAAAATGTGGTTTAAATGATTGTCTTTTGCAAAAAAAAAAAAAAAGTGGTCAGAAATTGCCTCAGATCGCACCACGGAGAGTGTCTAGAATCAAATTTTTCGCGGCACTTGGCCCCGAACCCCCCCCCCCCACGCTGTAGGGGCTTCGCGCTTCGCGCTCGCATTAGTTCTGATCATGGTATATCCCCAACTTTTAAGAAGCGATTGACGCCCCTGATCTGTTTTTAGTTCCGCGGTATATTATTGCCGACTTTGACGATCTGTCGGGTGTGTATATATTTTGATGTCGACGATCGGTCGGGTGTATATATGTTTTAATGTCGGCCTGCCAACGTTGTACTTACGTTAATTAAAGACGTCGCATGCAAACATTTTGCTGACGTCGGCCTGGCCTGCCCGTTCTGGCTAACACTTGGTGATCGGTAATGACGCTGGCCGGCCGACAGCTGCCGGTGACGACGGTAAACAGTTTCGAGGACAGCCTTCCAACGTACGTTAATTGTGCCGACACTGACGATCAGTTTGTATTTTGAGGTTGGCCTGCCAACGTTGTTCAATATAGTTAGTAAAAAGTCTGTAGGCCTAATTTTCGACGTCGGCCTGCTATTATAATATGCCATCGTTGACGATCGGTTCGTATACTATTATGAGGTTGATTTGCCAACGTTGTTGTTCAGAAGTTATTAGTAATATTTGACGTCGGCTGTCAACATTGTTCAGACGAAACAGTTGCATGTATTCGACGTTGGCCAAACGTCAAAAATTGGTCGGGCCGACGTTACAATGCGTCGTATGTATGAGCGTAGTTGGCAGGATGGGGGGATACGTCGCCTAAAGTTGGCGAAATAATGTTGCGCCAACTTGTTTTTTGTTAATCCAACGTTGATGGCCCAACGTCCAGAAGAATTGCCGAACCAACATATCCAACGTTTAATATTTCGCCAGACCAACGGTCTGACAGTCGCGAAGCCAACGGTCAACGTTGACCACGGTAAGCGGGTCAGTTCTCGTAGGGTAGACCATAATTAAACCCGCCACTATCAGCATCGATAATGTAGGGGCGGGGTGTTGCTGTTTGTGCACCAAACTAGCGTCCCCAACTAACAGATTTTAAACAGATGTTTGCAGACCTTATATGGAACAAATTAAAACACTCTTTCACAAAAAGATATAAGCATTATTTATTTATTTATCTATCCATTCCTGTACCAAACTAAAACATGATTACGAGTATAAGGTAGACATTGACTTTCGTTTCATTTGCGACTGCATCCAATTAAGTCATATAGGCTAATCTAACAGAAGAGGCATAGAAAACTTGAATCCAGTTGAAATTATTTTCAAAACTAAAAGGCCCAATATGGATAACTTGATAAAAAAAGTATGACAGTTTTGTAAGTTGTTTTTGTCAAGCGCACGATGGTGATTTTCCCTGTATAGAGCCTTGTGTAACATAGGCTTTTGTAGTTTTAAATATCATTGGATAACTTGCAGGTGCTGATTGGATTTCGTGCTGAACTTAGTCAGCACTTTGAAAATGGAATGTTCGACTTTTTTTCAACTTGGTTAAAGTTCAATGACGGGAAGCACGAGGTTTCTTTAAACAAACCAAACAAAACACCCATGAAAGTTGAAGTGCTACTCATTTGCTACTCACTACCGACCCTAACCGACTAGTTCCTGAGTATGGTAAACTATATAGAATCAAGATTACTTTCTATATAGACATGGTAGACAAAGTATCAATGTGGAATGATTCTACATTGTACCTGATATTGATTCAAAACTAACCTAGTGAAATATATAACATTACCATTTGTGTGCAGAATGCAAATGGCTTATAGACAATGACCATTAACAGACTTCTTTGAAAGGGCTTCAGGAAAATCAATACGCATGCCTCTGGCCCACTTCCAAGGTATAGGGGGCTTCGCCAATCCAAAATGGAAACTACTACATTGTTAAAGTACACAGATGCTTTCAAATAACGTGTCATTTTGGTCCTCGTTTGTTGCCCTCATCTTGATATTTATGCCAACATGGGCTGATCGTTATTTGATGAGGTAATGTATTCCATGCTTTCATTAAAGAAACTACATTCTAGTGCTGACAAAAAAAGCTTGCCGGGTGGTAGGCATGCAACTGTTGTAATACTGGTGGCTTTATGTTACCAGGTTCCCAAAGCGCTTGGTCAAAATCTCCATGAATTAGATGACAACATAGAAGACACCAGATCACTACTATGGCAAACAAGCCATACATCATTGCGGAAATATAACATCATATTATGCACCTAAAGCAAAACCATATATTAAACCAAACCTTTAATAATTAAAATATAACAACAGAAAATATCTATATCTATGGCAAAATAGTCTAATTACAGCCTGAGGCAGGCTGCAAAGATAAAATAAAGCCTGCTATACAACTAACATGTATCATTTATTCCCAAAAGTAACTTAATAAGCGATTACAACAAATAGCATCATCAAAATGTATTTCCTAATAAATGCGTTGTTTTATAGACTTCCACAAAATGAAAGAGTTGTACAAGTTGCTCTGATAAAATGAGAAAAGGCAATGTTCATACAAAACAAGTATACGTCATTTGTTTTGTTCTGTACATAGATGATGGCATCCATATACATGTACACATTTTTTTTGGGGGGGGGAAACATGCAGTTCCTTTTTCTGAGAGACTAAAAAAAAGTCATCATTGGCAATGCTGATGACTAATGCCACAATTAATTCCTTCAAAAAAAAAGTGCCACTTTGGGAAAAAAATCAATTACATATTCATTGTATATGTTGTGGCATACATTTAACTAACATAATCCCTATACTTGCTGAACCATGATAACATAAATTTAATTAAGAATTTCACATTCATGATGTACCCCTTCAAACACCAACAGCATCATCTACAAGTAAACCGCACTTCCAGTAGACCAATTTCCTTTGTAGGAAATCATCACTATAATCTTATTCCCAATCTCTCTTAACGGAGAAACTCCACTCCCACTCCAAGTAGATATTCTTGTCATCGTCTGTGAATTTACTCTTGACAATATAGTCACCACGGCCTAACAAACCCGCGGGTAACTCATCCACGGGACTCTGGAAGATGTGCTCCTCCGTTTTGGGTCTGTAACTCCCAACCATAAAATTGGCCTTGTCCACTGCAAAGAACAAGTGGTTGATTGGGGTTATGCCAGAGTTGTAATGACTCGACTCGAGTCCGACTCAAGTCACAATTTTTGGTGACTCGAGTCCCTAAGGGCAAATGACTCGACTCGACTGAGTCCCTCATCAGAATGACTCGACTCGAGGAAGGCTATTGAGACTCGAATCCCAAAAACATAAGCAAAACTTTGCGAAAAATATTTGCAATGACTTACGCCGGTGCCGGTTTTTTTCACGTCACGTTAGAATGTTCGCGAATAATGTATACATATTACATACGTGGTTTGATCAGTGTCCCCATTAGTTGAATGACGATCAGCTGGCACCCCCTTAGCAGTAGCCCGAATGTAAAATTTAAAAGGCTAAAAAAAATGACTTTCACTCTTGTGTTTATTGATTGTATAGTGCTCAAATATCTGTGACTCGAATTAACTAGAGCTAAATACTTGACTCGACTCGACTCGACTCGACTCGTCCACACACTGTGACTCGACTCGACTCAATTCGACCGTCTTGACCTAATGACTTGACTCGACTCGAGTCACTTCTTTAAAATGACTCAACTCGACTCGAGTCACTAAAATCAGTGACTCATTACAACTCTGGCTTATGCAGGGTGAGTCAAAAAAAGCGGAATCCAACCCCCCCCCCAAAAAAATTATGAAATTGCATAATCCGTTCGTAGAATAGGCCTATATCACCATTTAAACGCAATGACCCTAAAAAGCGTTTCGTCCAAAAAGAGAGAGCAATATATTGTGTCCTGTTTGGAACAACAAAGATAATGACACGGAATACCTGTTTTAACAACTGTCAACAACTTTAGTACACAATATCTTTACTAACAACCCTGCTTAGGCAAACAATATCACTTCTACAATCCACTTTAAAATAAAACAAAGAAGACGGGCCTTCAAAAGAGCTTTGTTTAATATTTTTGAGTTTTAAATTAAGGTTTTATCGCTGAGGATGTTTGAAGACAATTGTGACGACTATTCTTGAAATCGCATTTTAAGTTTTAGGATCACCGTATTTAAATGGTAATATTCTTTGAAAGGTTCGAGCAATTTCAGTACTTTTTTAAATCTAAAATTGCCTTCTATGAAATTAGCTTTACAGTCATTATTAGTTTCGGTGCTACATACTTTTTAAAATATAAAATATGTTTTTGGGGGCTGGCGTTCCGCTTTTTTTTTTACTCAAACTGTACATGTTATTTGCATTTCCTGGATTTGAGGAGCCAGCCAACCGACCGACCGACTGACCAAGGGCGGATCCAGAACACAATTTTTTGGGGGGCCAAAAAAATTTTGGTCCCCAAAAAAGTGGGTCCAAACAATTACGGCGTGGGGGGCGGAGGTCATGCTCCCTGCCCCCCCCCCCCTTCTCCAAAAAAGTGCTCATATTTTTTTAAAGCGCAGTCGTAAAAAGGCATCCACTGCGTACACCACCACGTTTTGCTCGAAAATAAATTGGACAAAGTACACACAGAGCGTCTAAAATCCCCCCTAAAAAAATCGGGGCCCTTAAGCGGGCACCGAAACCCACGCCGTAAAATTTTGGACCCAGTTTTTGGGTGAAGAAGATTTCCTGCCCCTCCCAAAAAAAGTTGTTCTGGATCCGCCCTTGTATGGGACTTCGAAATAGACCAGTTTCCTAACAAATTCAAACTCTTGCACACATGCGCATCGATAGACCGGAAGGTAAAATGTAAAAATGTCTCTAAAATCGCCATAGGTATTACTTTTTGGTCTAAGTGGGGTTTCGGGGGTACATGACTCAGCAATTTGTAATGAAAATTTCAATCAATTTTTAGGTTGGGCACATTGTTTTTTTTGATATTTTGTGTTTCAATGTGGACGGTGTTAAATATTGCCAGAACATCCTTCTAGCCTATTTAAAATAGGCTAGAACTTAAAATTCAAGCATTTCTAGAAATTCCCTACACCCTATTTTGTTCTATCCATTTTCAGCATTAATTAAAGTAGATTTACAAGTGATCATGGATTTTGCATCCCTAAGCAATACCCTTAACTGCGATGGTTCCTCAGCACAAACAAAGAAAAGGCAGCTATTAATTAGGGCACCATGTCGCGTCACATTGAGCCTTTTTTTGGAGGGGGGGGGGTCCAGAAAAAAAGATGGTTGCCCTGTACTACGGGTGTTTTCTCACAAAAAGGCGCACCCATGCAGTGTTCTATTCAAGTTCAGTACACTACAAGTCCATTCACAAAAAATCACATATACATTTTAAAAATCTGGTCATACGTAGTAGAGGATGACTAATAACAAAAGAATGCATTAGTCAGAGGTCATTTCAACAGCTTGTGAAAGGCCTTGGGACTGGACTGGATATTATTATTATTATTATTTTTATGATTTATTCGACCAAAACAATACACAATGAACAAACACGGTATGAAAAACAAAAACTAAACAAAAATGTATGAAAGCTACGAAATACAAAATAAAACAAATAATCACAAAAGACGACACTTTATAAGTGTAAGTGTAAGTGTAGGGGCCACAAAAACAACGCATAATATGAAATGAAAACATCCGAAGACAATATATAAAAAGACGATATGTGGGTCATTGTGTGACTAAAATCAAAATGCAACACCGGGTGAGCGACAAATTGCATGTCCGTACATTCACTCACCTCTGATGCCTTTTCTGTAAACAGCTTCAAAATACCGCAGTCCAGAGACACCCTCACGTTGGACCTTTATTGGATACCGACCAAAAAAATAAAGACAACAATTATTCAAGAATCACGAAAAACCTTACTTTAAGTCTATTCTGTTCGGACCACACGCCTGAGTGCAGAAGTCATCATCATTATCATTCTCAACCGTTATCTGCCCACTGCAAGGTGAAGGCCTTCCCAAGCTGGCGAGGGCCTGTGCCGCTCTCATCCTTGATCTTCTGTATGCCTCCGCTAACGGAGATTAGCCTTCCCCATCTCTGGCAGCCAACCGCACCAGATTCCTCCGAGATGTTTTCTCCTTGCCCGATCGGGCTGCAGCCCCAAGCGACAGACCTGTCCAGTTGCGGATGTCAGCTATATACTGTCGCCATAGCCGGCCTCTCCGCCTCTTCCCTGGATGGTATCCAGCAATTATGTCCCAAGCCAAACCACCTGTCCTTCGCGCGTGGCCAAAGAAGCTGTTTCGTGGTTTTCATATTGGCGAGCAGGGTTCTTGTGGTGCTGAGCTCCTAGAGGATGCTGTCATTGGTCCGTTTGTCTCTCCCGGTAAAGCGGAGAATCCTGCGATAGACCCACATTTTAACAGCCCTAAGAGCGCGTTTCTCTGCAGCTCGTATATATAGTTCAGGACATGCCAGATGAGGGCACATACTATATGGAGTATGACTTTCCTGCTGACGCCTCTATCTTTCCAGATGGGCACCTCACCCAGTGTGCGCTTCTTTGCCATTGTTATTCTGCTCTTGATGTCTGTTGAGCAGACGCCGTTCGTTGTCTTGAGGGAACCCAGACATTTAACCTGTGCCACACGCTCGACCTCTGTATAGTGCTATCTATCCGTCTGTCTGTCTGTCCCGACAACAATTATTCAAGAATCACGAAAAACCTTACTTTAAGTCTATTCTGTTCGGACCACACGCCTGAGTGCAGAAGTCATCATCATTATCATTCTCAACCGTTATCTGCCCACTGCAAGGTGAAGGCCTTCCCAAGCTGGCGAGGGCCTGTGCCGCTCTCATACTTGATCTTCTGTATGCCTCCGCTAACGGAGATTAGCCTTCCCCGTCTCTGGCAGCCAACCGCACCAGATTCCTCCGAGATGTTTTCTCCTTGCCCGATCGGGCTGCAGCCCCAAGCGACAGACCTGTCCAGTTGCGGATGTCAGCTATATACTGTCGCCATGGCCGGCCTCTCCGCCTCTTCCCTGGATGGTATCCAGCAATTATGTCCCAAGCCAAACCACCTGTCCTTCGCGCGTGGCCAAAGAAGCTGTTTCGTGGTTTTCATATTGGCGAGCAGGGTTCTTGTGGTGCTGAGCTCCTAGAGGATGCTGTCATTGGTCCGTTTGTCTCTCCCGGTAAAGCGGAGAATCCTGCGATAGACCCACATTTTAACAGCCCTAAGAGCGCGTTTCTCTGCAGCTCGTATATATAGTTCAGGACATGCCAGATGAGGGCACATACTATATGGAGTATGACTTTCCTGCTGACGCCTCTATCTTTCCAGATGGGCACCTCACCCAGTGTGCGCTTCTTTGCCATTGTTATTCTGCTCTTGATGTCTGTTGAGCAGACGCCGTTCGTTGTCTTGAGGGAACCCAGACATTTAACCTGTGCCACACGCTCGACCTCTGTATAGTGCTATCTATCCGTCTGTCTGTCTGTCCCGTCTGTCCTGTCTGTCCTGTCTGTCCTGTCTGTAACATGTACTTCAGGTTTGGCAACACTACTTGAAGACTACTCGAAGATATCTGGAGCCAGGTAAATGCGCAACTTTTGGGTATAATCAGTGGCATAGCCAGGAATTTTTCAGTGGGGGGGGGGGGGGGGCGCTGGGGGGGGGGGGGCTGGAACATTTCATGGGGGGCGTCATGTAGATCAATGATAATGTTTTTTAGAAACTCAAAATCTCAGTGGGGGCGACTGGGGGGCGACAAGGTTTCATGGGGGGCTGTCGCCCCCCCCCCCCCCCATGGCTACGCCACTGGGTATAATAGTAGCATTTTTGGATCGTTACTACGTCCTCATAATTATTCAGTAACTTATATGCTTTAGAAATATGTTAATAAAGTAAGGCTGTGCAAGTAGAATCAACTTTTTTTTTCAAAATAAAAAAAACCAAATATACCCAAATATGAGGGCAAATATGGGGGAAAATACGGATGGTATTAACATTGCAAATACGTGAACTGACTCTCTTGGTCTCCATTGCACAGCTTTGTCCATCTGTTGTCATTTGTTCAGTCCACAACATGCCCTGCCCGCTTCCATTTTCTCTTCATCATCTTCTATGATGTCTTGTACTGTGTTTGCTCGCTTATCCAGTGACACGTTTTATTTTGTCCTTTTAGCTTCTTTGTTTTGTTTGGATCATTATTACACGACAAATCAAAACTTTTAATTATAAGTCTTTTTTTAATGAATTGATGTATCTTCACAGACCTTTACATAGTTTCAAAAATATCAAACCCGTAAAATATGCAACTTACAAAAGATAACATCATCATGGCTGCCAGGACATCAGAAAAAAAACAGCTTGGCAGTCTTGCAAACCCCCCACAACACACTGCAAATAGGTTAAATATTTAAGTTACTTTTTCTCAAAATGTCCTTATAAAGTGAGATACATCAATTTACCGAAATAGGGCGTTGCGGCACTGAAGAGTTTATGCAATATTGTACACAATTGTCTTATTTGACTCCTTTTTGAATATTGATCTTTTCGCTTTCGGTGTAAAGTCTTTTGGATGATATTCCCTATAGATTTTCTTAATAATCTGTATATAACTTTGATGTATTCTAATGCCTTCTAATGCCTCCTGTTGCCTCTTTGATGTCACTTTGATGCCAAATGGCTAGTGATGACTTAAATCTGATGCCTAATACTGAGGACTCTTTGATGCCTCAATGCTCGATGGTCATTCATGACTTCTATTGCCTTACTTGTGCCTCTTTGATGCCCCTTTGATGCCTGATGGCTAGAGATGACTTTAGTCTGATGCCTTGCTGGTGCCTCATTTATGCCTCAATGCTCGCTGGTCAGTCGTGACTTCTGATACCTTCCTCGTGATCTTTGATGCCACTTTTATGCCTGATGGTCTGCCATGACCACGAATGCCTTGCTGGTGCCTCATCCATGCCCCTTTGATGCCTGATGGCTAGTTATGACCTAATTTCGTTGCCTTGCTGAGGCCTCTTGGATGCCTCAATGTTCGATGGTCAGTCGTAGCTTCTAATGCCTTCCTGGTGCTTCTTTGAGGTCTGATGGCTAGTGATGACTTAACTCTGATGCCTTGGTGATGCCTCTTTGATGCCTCAATGCTCGATGGTCAGTCATAACTTATGATGCCTTCGTGATGCCTTCGTGATGCCTTGCTGATGCCTGATGGTCTGTCATGACCTCGAATGCCTTCCTGGTGCCTCATTGATGCCACTTTGATGCCTGATGGCTAGTGATGACTTAACGCTAATGTGTTGTTGATGCCTCTTTGATGCGTCAATGCTAGATTGTCAGTCATAATATCTAATACCTGGTTCCTCTTTAATTGATGCCCCTTGGATGCCTGATAGCTAGTGATGACATACTTCTGATGCCTTGCTGATGCCTCTTGGATGACTCAACGCTCGATGGTTAGTCATGACTTCTGCTGCCTTTATGCTGCCTTCCTGGTGCCTCTTTGATACACCTTTGATGCCTGATGGCAAGTGATGACTTAATTCTGATGCCTTGCTGATCGATGCCTCTTTAATGCCTCAATTCCTCGATGTTCAGTCATAACTTTTAATGATTTCCGGATGCCTCTTTGATGCCCCTTTGATGCCTGATGGCTAGTGATGACATAATTTTGATGCCTTGCTGCTGCCTCGTTGATGCCTCAATGCTCGAAGGCCAGTCAGGTTTTATGATGCCTCTTTATTCCTCAGTGCTCGATGGTCAGTCATGACTAATGATGCCCTCCCTGATGCCTCTTTGATGCCCCTTTGATGCCTGACAGTCAGTGATGACTTCTGATGCCTGTTTGATGCCCGTTTGATGCCTGTTTGATACCTGCCTGTGATGCTTGATGCTCAGTGATGACTTTTGATGCCTTCCCAATACCTTATATTGATGCCTAAACAATGCCGTGAGCTTCAGATGAACATCAGCAGTCATAATTTTTACATCAATGATATGTTTCTTGATGACTGATGAATGTACGCCTTTAATGTTTTTCTTTATAAACTTTGCTCAAATTGCTACTCTTTTGATGTCCAATGATGCCTAAAAGAATGTGATGCCTTTTTGATGACCATTTGATGCCTGTTCGATGGCAATGCAGCTAATTCATGGCAAGTGCAGCCAAGCCGCCTGAAAGGTAAAGGGCGTTATCTCGGCATTGGGAGTTAAAGGAAATACACAACATTTTCTTTTGCTGTACTTTTCAGAAAGGATGTAGTTGGGCGGAGTATATTGCAGCAAATATCGTCATTGAACTGACCTGTTAAAGTTTGTGTTAATACATTGATGCTGAAAGAAAGAAAAATACCGAAAGCTGTTCTTGTAGTCTAGTTGCCTGACCTTACGAAAGGGGGAATTGTCAGGTCAGGGAACTGAATCAGCTGGTCTCCACCCGTTCACGGATGTGTAACTTCAAACAAAATGTGGACTTATTAAACTTGGTAAAATGGGGGCAGTATTTGAATCAAAAAAGTATTTTTTTTTCCAATGATGGTCAGTACTAAAAAACCCCACTTTTCTTGAAAATGACAGCACACTTGCCATGATTTCACATGACGCATGGGCCATGGACTATTATTATTATTATTTTTTTATGTTGCAAATGATTAAGGTGTATATATTCCCTTTTAGAAAATTCCAAGCATGCCCCATGGTGTGCACATTAGCAAGGACATGATCCCCCAAATTTGTGGTTGGTGTGTTTTCCATGATTCAATATTTCAAACGCAGGCTCCGAAATGATAGAATCTACTCACCTTGAATTTGATTTTATTAATCCTAAATTTGATTTGAATCTTCATGCTACGCACAATAGCGCGATCCATAATGTGGCTGTTGCATTTCCATTGATGCAATTTTTGAAAGGCAGGCACTGACAATATAAATTAGAATCAACTCACCCTGAATATGAGTTTAATCCTGTACTCGGCGCCTTCCTTAACCACAAATGGGTTATGCTTGAATTGAGAAAGATCACCTTTGAACAAAGCAAAGAGGATGAAAAAAGTGTGACAATCCAAGTGAAAATTTGGAAACCAAAACAATTTCAAAAGAAGACAACCTTGAGTTTAAAGCCACATAGCATCACTATTATGTGTTGTTATTTTATGAAATGGACCAATTTAAAGGATGTTAATTAATAGCAGAAATCGTTCGATTCCGAGCTATCAAATCCTTTGTGAACACCGTGCTGCAAAAAAACAGATCAACCCATCCCCTAACAAAACCCACTGTACATTTTCAACCGGCAAAATGCAGCTCGTAGAATTTGTTGTACATAGAACCCATAGGTCACAGGAAGTGCCTGAGTACCCGAGAAATTGTTTATTGCGATCATGCCAAGGCTAAGTCCTAACCAGTGGCGTAACTATAGGGTTAAACCTCTAGGCAGGCACCTGCGGGTCCACTATTTTTTTAAGGGGGGACTGAAGTAAGAATATGGTTAACTGCTTTTTTGTTAAAAAAATTTTTGGGGGAGGGGGAGGGTTGTTAAAAAAATTATGGCTGTTAGGAAGTTATTTAGGCACCTTTTTCACATACAAAGTGTTACATGTAATGTTAGTTTCTTTTTTTAAGGCAGAGAAGTAAGGTTCATTTTGTTATGCGAATAGCCTAGGGGTTGGCTTTTAGTATTGTTTTTGTTGATGTCGGGGGGCAACATGGGACACTCGCACATCCATGCTGAAATGTAGACCCTTTTTTATCCCGGACATTTTTGGCATCCGTAATATCAGAAAATGGTGGGGGAGCATTTTTTCAGGGTGCATTGTAATGCATTTGTCGTTCGTGTCCTCGCTATACCAATTTTGGGAATATAGTTACAAACAAAATATTATATATTTACCAACGTGGACAGACTGCATTGTAAGATACCTACCATTACGTGAGTTACCAATATTAATATCCCTCTTTTTTTTTTTTTTTGGGGGGGGGGGTAATTGAACTGGTAGCTTGCACATGACACCCGACACCCGACCGACACCCGGGTGTCGGTCACTTCGCCGACAACCACTTCGCCGTACATGGGGCAGTGTGGTGCAACTTTCATAATTGTTTTGCCTTGTCCTTTTCTGGTAGCGTGAGTTATGCCTACTAATGATAAAAAAATATTGCCAGACCAACAGAAGTTGGTTTTGTTGCTCTTTCAGTAGAATGTGCGCTTAATTTCAAAAGATTTTCTGTGAGAAAAATATTCCGAAGTACCATGGGTCCGAAGTCCCATTGGTCCGAAGTCCCATTGGTCCGAAACAGAATACTGTGGCGGAACCGATCCTGACACCATTTGTAGCGGAACCGGCGGGTGTTGGCGGGAACCCGAGGGGACTGGTCTGTTTTATCCCAGGACTCCAACCCACACCAATTATCCCACAAAAATATATATTAGCCTAACGAACGGGTGAGCGGCTACCCATACGAAAGGGGGGACAATTAACGAACGGTGGACTAAGCCTAGGGGCTGTTCGTTTGGTGGAGATTTACCACCGTTTTGTGATTGAGTAATTCATTGAATGTAATTAGAGCAAGACAAGTAGCGACGATAGGCCTCAAAGTGAACTCAGGTAACCCTCACAACAGACCTAGGTAACCCTCAGTGAACTTGGTAACCATCACAGTGAACCTAGTAACCCTCAAGGTGTGCCTGGGTAACCCTCACATAGACAGTTATTCCAAAGACGATTATCAATAGGACTTATTCAAGAATAGTTATAACAAGGGTCAACTGCAGTTACTGCACCCTTTGTAGTAAACTTAGCCTTAGGTAACCCTCACGTGGTCAACTGCACCACATGATTACAAACTTATACAAATATAATCCCTGTTATTATCACAGTTCCAATAACCCTCACACAGATTGAGCTGTCCCAATAACCCTCACAGAGGAAAGGTAACCCTCAACCCAATTTACACTATGAGCCCGATGTACATATAGCCCTCGCACAAGAAAGGTAACCCTCAACACGATTTATCGTCAGAGCAGGCTGTACTATGTAATCCAAATAACCCTCACACGATCTGAGCAGTCCTAATAAACCCTCTCAGGAAACCAGTAACCCTCACAGTGAGTTATACAATATAAACCTTACGTGCAATAAATCTCAAATGAAACAGGTAGCCTTCACAAGTGCTCAGAACACGGCAAAGAGTAAACTCGTTAGGCAAGCTAATCCAATGATTACGGCAATGATTGCTTCAGTCGTAAAACCCCACCGAATGGTGTCCAACCCACGACAAGCAATCTACCACCGAATCACAGTCTCACTAGCCTCTCAAACCAAGTTCTACAACTCCTTGCCCTTTTGTTCTAGCATTAATCAAGACACAATAATCAGTCTTAATTTCCCTACTAGATTTCATCTAAATCTTTGTCCCCAATTATCTTAGACATTCGACACTGAATAACAGACCTTGAGCTACAACTTCACTCAATATATATTACATAACACTTAGCTTACTGCTACCTAACCCGGAGCTACAGCTCCCGAACCCGGCCGCACCAGAGCGTCCACCGTCAGAGATGAGCTCCTACTCCCGACCGGGGAGTACGCAACAGCAACGAAGACCCCAGAAACGGCACCGCGACTTGACTGGTCCCTGAACCCCGAAGCTTGGCTTCTTGCAACTTGGCAACAGCACCAGAACGCGTTCCTACTACATTGACGTCATCTTGCGAACTCACGAGATGATCTCAGGACCCCACGCTAAAGCATGCTAATTCGCGCACAGCCTTCACAATACGCGTTGCTGATTGGTCACTGTTCACCATGAATTATTAATCTCCTGATCACGCAGAACAATTTATTGCTGATTGGTCCACGCGCACTTTGGCATTATAAGCACGCACCAAATGTCCCAGATCACGCGCATAAATAATTCCTAGGACTTAGACTCCTACACAAGTCTTCATATACATGTACCCCTGTTTCGTCACAATACTGTGTAGTTCCACTTGTTCAGGTTGACTGACCCTAACCCTAACCCTAATCCTATGGGGCGTCGGACCAATAGGACTTCGGATCAATGGGACTCCGGACCAATGGGACTTCGGATCAATGGGACTTCGGACCAATGGGACTTCGGACCAATGGGACTTCGGGCCAATGGGACGTCGGACCAATGGGACGTCGGACCAATGGGACGTTTATACCAATGGAACGTATAGACCAATGGGACTTCGGACCAATGGGACTTCGGACCAATGGGACTTCGGACCAATGGGACTTCGGACCAATGGGACTTCGGACTATAGAGACGTCCCCGAAAAATCTACCCTAAATGCTTTGAATGACAGCACAGAGTTTACGAAAGACCCCCTCTTAATATAACTGTGGAACTGCCCTGTTTTTGCGTTTACCTGTCAGATCCAGAACAGTTTCCTCGTGGTCTACTGGAGCAAATACCAAGGCCTTCAATAGTACATTTTGTCCGCCTTCATCTGAAATTTAAGAAATTAAAAAGGTCATCTAAAGTACATATATACGTATTTAACTGGCTTATCCATTTTGTGCCAGCAACAACAGAGATATAGCGCACAGCCGCACATAGGCGGGCGCTTTCGAATTAACATAAACCAAACAGGTGACGTCATCTTAAAGAAGATTTTAAGTTTTATATCTAGAGAACTACAAGTTCGATTGGGTTGAAACCTTGAAGGTACATGGACAGGGATGTGTTATAGACGAAAATTTAAATGAGATTATTATGACGTCATAATGTGATTTTTATTCAGATCTTTGAAATTTTGAAGATTATAATCATATCTCACGAACACAACATGCTCAACTCAAAATTGATAGTCACAACTATCAGCCCAATTGTGTTAGAAAGTTGTGACTCGTTATAATGTCATCCAAAACATGACTTTCTTTTTATATTTCGATCATTTACACGCATATACACTTCCACAGAAAAGCATAAACCAGTAACAAAATCATAACGCTGAAAGGTCCTATATATTCTGTTCTTAGACAGATATAGACTTTGTCTTGTTCTTCTTTTTTTTGTTTGAATGTATTTGCACAGTACCTAAAACATCTGCAGTGCTACCCAGTAGAGCTTCCTTGTACTTGACCAGACTTTCGTCATCGGCGTCACGTTCTTGAAGCGTCTGCAAGTCCACTTCTTTGGGCGGTGGGTAGTCGCGGGTAAGCTCTTCAGTACCCCTCTGAGCTGGCACGGCTTCTGGTTCATCTCCCCTGTTTACTGCACTCCGACAGGGAGAGACAGAATTAACTTTAACGCTTGTATTACATTATACTACATTTAAGAAGATTCCCTGCTGAAAATGATAATAAAAAGAACTTTCCGTGGTTTTGGGCAGTACCTTACAAAGAGTAGCAGTTGTTTTCTGCAGACTGACGCGGTACAGGGATGCATGGGTTAACACGTACCTTTTCCAGACATGGCGTTTCAGAGTTGGACTGTACCAAACTATTCCGAAGATTTAAATTACTACAAGCAAATGTCAATGTCTGAAATAGCAGAGACTACTTCCAACTACAACTGCCTGAAATTATACAAATGTATGTGCTATTTTTCGTGAACATTTCACAGACTTTCAGGAAGGAAGGAGGATTGTTTTGTTTTGTAACTTTTTTTAATGTTGTCCATCGTCTTTACACTGCTTAAGGATACATTTAAGGGTGTGCTTTAATTAACCGAGAACACACACTAACTCCGCATGGCAAAGAATTGCATATTTTAAAAGTTTACTCTATTTTCAAATATTTGCACATGTTTGGCAATGTGGCCATGACAAATCAAGGTAGGTCCGTGTGACCATGTGACACATTAGTGTGCACTGTAAACAAAACCCGTAAAAACACTATCCTTTTCCCGCATTGTTTACGGTTTATTACCGTTATTGCTTGAACCGTCACAAGAAAGAACGTGCTACGTGCATTTCCCGTAAAACTTGGTGACCTGACGCAGGCTGGGATTCACAATGCTTTGTATTCGTAACTTTTCAAAACCCCTCCCCTTTCAAACCCTCACAACCACCTAGTTTTTAAAGCTGTGATTCGTGTGCACTCACGCAAGGTTCGCTACGTGCTGATCATTGTACTGTGAAAGCCGTAATGCTTTAATATTGCGGAATTTGGAGAGCCAAACAGCTAATTCTGCGGTGTTGACCAGCAATAGGTTGACCCTTTCTGCGGGATTGGTAAAAAGTTGTAAATGAAAATTACAACTTACAGATGCAAGTTATGTTACAACTTAAAGATAATTTCATGTTATGTTTTCTCTAAGATGTTCGTCATATATTTTGTAACGCAAACTTGAATTGTACCTTTAATGTTATTTAATATAATACTTAATATGTCTCCGTCCTTTGAATATTTATGGTATGGCTGTTCTATACTCGTAAGCCATTAATACTCATTTACTGTGTTTGATGCTTAGAAGTATAAATAATTCGTCTGTTTTTGTGTAATGGCATGCTTAAAACAAGCTACAACACAATACAATTTTTGCTACCTCTACCAGTCTTTACATCTTAACCAAGACTGGTATTATTCCTCATTTCTGCCGTTATACGAGGAAATGCACGTGTTTGCGAATAGTTTAATTCCCAATCGTCTAGACAAAGCGCAGTTAGAGGATAAAGACGGGGTCAAAAAGACTGTGTGCCAAATGCCATGCTTGTATCATCAAAGGCACAATTCCCTCAAATACTTCCCTATCTGTCCCACTTTAAGTCTTACATAGGGTCTATCTTACAATCACATGAACATGTACATACCTTGAAGTGCCGTCGCGCATACACAGCTGAGGCACATCAAGAGAATCACACAGGCGTGTCCCTTCATTTCAAGTCTCTTCTGTTCTTTTTTAACGAAAAAAAAAATGGAGCAGTCATGTTGGAAAGACGTTTGTATTGATACACCGTGGAAGTGACCATGGGAAGTGAAAAGTCCCATCACCCATCTTTGGTTTAATTGTACACACGGATGTCGCTAGAGAAGGGGTGTTGGGTCCATCCACCCAATCAAACGGTTTGTCGGCAAAACTGTCGTCCTGACGGCAAATATACTTTAGTTTATTAGGTTGTGTATATAATACACGAGTGCCACTAGTGAGCGCAAATTTGCATCCTTGTGGAGACATTTCCACAATAGGGAACAAAAGATTGTATAGGTTTCCACAGGGCAATTTCTATAGATGAATAGGTCTCCACAAGGTTTTCACGAAGTAGATATATGGATTTTACCCCAAAACTAGGAATTTCCAAGGTGGGTTGATTTGTCGCAAATGGAAGAGTTTTAGAAAAGGGATATTAAGTCCGAATTTCAGCTAAGGAAATTAATTCTGGTTAAAATAAGAGCATTTTGGAACTTCACTTTCAAACTCAAAATCTTTACTACACGAGAACAAGGAAATTTCTCCACAAGGATACAAATTTGAGCGTGTGTGAAGGGGTGTGAGAACCCCCATCAATTGGTTTTGTCTGAAAAATTGTCGTCCTGTCGGTAACTATACTTTGGTTTGAGTACACACGAGTACCACTAGAAAAGGGTTGGGGTGAAATACATTTTGGCAAAATTGTCGTCCTGTCCAATATATGCTTTGACGAGTGGCGCAACCTATCATAATTGTTTGAAGATCGTTCGCTTTGAATAGTGCGGCCCGGGGGTAGACGCCATCCAACTTTTGGAGGCACTGATCGACATGCCCCAAAAGTTGGATGGTGTCCACCCCGGGCTAGCTTCCAGTACAGACGGCCTGTCGACAATTTTCTGTCAACACCCTCCATAAAAATTAACATTGGTAGGCGACGCCCTGTATTTGCAGGGGCCGTATCATAAGTCCGACGCCTCATAGGTCCGACGCCTCATAAGTCCGAAATTTCGGACTTATGAGGCGTCTGAGTTATGAGGCATAACATTTATTTATTCCGCCTCATAGGTCCGACGCCTCATAAGTCCGACGCCTCATAAGTCCGACAACGGAAAAACGAGGCGTTTAATTTGTCGGACTTACGAAGCGTCGGAGCTATGAGGCGTCGGACCTATGAGGCATCGGACTTAGGAAAAACTCTGAATGGGCATGATCTGATAGGGCAATATAGTCCAGGCAAAATACTGCATTTTTTGAGTGAACCTCAAACAAATTGCAACAGAATTTTTTTCACCACGGTGCATTTCTATAAGGTCCCTAAAATGACATACTAAAAGTCCAAAAAAATCCAAGTGGTGGAAATATGCCTAATTTGCATTAATCCAAAATGGCCGAATTTTTTTGGACTTTCACATTGATTTGGTCATATTTCTTATATTCGTTAGCTTTTTCAGGTACTTAAAACGACAATTGTAGTCCGTTTACATTGATTTCATAATTATTCTAGTCCTACGTAACTTTCAAGATCCCCATGTTTCCCAAATTTGCCATATGCCGTACAATAATTTTCATAAATGCAATATATTAATTTGCATAAATTAAAGTTAAAATTATGGCTGTCATGTGTGGACATGTCACAATTGAATTTTCCTGATAATCCAAGTTCAGTTATTTACTAAATATCACACCACAGTGCATTTCTATAAGGCCCCTAAAAGGTCCAAAAATCCAAGTGGTGGAAATATGCCTAATTTGCATAAATTCAAAATGGCCACTTAAACCATGATTGAGTGGTCGGGCACAACCCGACCACTGATTGGAGTTGTTACGATTAATCTTCTTTGAGTGGTCGGGCACAACCCGACCACTCTTTGGATTTGTTGCGATTAATCTTTCTTTCTTTCTTTCTTTCTTTTTCCGGACAATACTTCTCGGCGGGTTTTCTCTTAAACGGTATATGGTATGAACTTGTAACTTTCAATATATATCGACCCTCATCCGAAGTGGTGCATATTACTCTGACGTCATGATTATTTCATCAGGTGTCAAATTACAAGTGATTTTAACTGAACAAGTGACCAAATACTTTCACTTATAACTCTTGAACTAAATCATTGATGTTTGTATTCTGTAATCAGATAGACCATTAATCGCTAACTATTTTTTGCCGTGTACGTAAACTCGCTTGACCTTTACTTCCGGGTCTACCGGAAGGTCAAAGTTAAATGAATTCAAAATGAAGACGTGAGCCTGAAATCAAAACAAAGCAACATTTCTTCCGAACGGTTCACGGTATGATCACAAAACCTTGTGTGAACTTGTACCTTGTTACGAAGATGTTATAGTTTTTATTACGCCATCATGACGTCATCAGGTATCAAATTACAAGCGATTTAAGGGCAAATTTTGACAAAAAAGTTTGCGCATATCTTTTGAACTAAATAGAGTATCGTGTTCGTTTTTTCATGAGGTTGTAGACTATGCCGTGAGGAACATTTCTTGTCCCCAGACACAAAACCGCTTGACCTTTACTTCCGGTGTTACCTGAATATAGCTCAAAAGCGGAAGCATTTTACTGCAGACACATATATTATAAAAGTGTTTGGTGAAGAATGCCAGACACAAAAACAGTGTGATGGCGTCATCATCCGGAAGTCAAAGTCGTTTGACCTTTCCTTCCGGGGCTGCCAGAAGGTCAAAGTTAGGTGAATTCAAAATATAGAAATTAGCCTCAAATAAAAGGAAAACAAGATTTCTTTCCATAACCGATTGAAATCACGCCTCACCAGTTTACCTCTCATATCTGAATGCTGAAAATTAATATTTCCACAGCATGTAGCAACAACCTTTCCTGTCGTAAAGTCAGTGCAGAATTTTATTATGCCCATGCAAAAGAAAAAAACAACTAAAAAGCCATTTTATGTGATTAGCATATGTTGCATAAACTCCAACGACGTAAGAGGCTCCGGCAAGTCTACCAATAGTCCCAACTGGTTGTATGCTTGAGTAGCCATCCATGCAGCACCAGATGTGCGCTTCCTGATAGGCCTACAAGTCTTGTCGAGGTAGCAACAAGTTCAACTGCAGGTTGTGTGATTTTCTATGTGAAAAACACAGGGTAATGGATATGCAGGGTAATTGGAGGAGTATTGTGCAGTTCAATTATGAATAAGTCACTGTAAACACAAGAAAATATGCCAGCCGGACCACTCTGCGTTTGTAACTCAACACACGCGAATCTCTAGTTCTTTCTTTCTTTCTTTCTTTTTTCCGGACAATAAGTTTCCGCGGATTTTCTCATAAACAGTATATGGTATGAACTTGTAACTTTCAACATATATCGACCCTCGTCCCAAGTGGTGCATATTTTCTGACTTCATGATGACGTCATTGGGTGTCAAATTACAAGCGATTTTAGAGAAAAAATGGGCCAAATACTTTCACCTTTAACTCTTAAACAAAGTGATCAATTACGTTTCAACTTTGCAATCAGATAGAGCATTAGTTGATAAACATTTTTGTCGTGTACGTGAACTCGCTTGACCTTTACTTCCGGGTCTACCGGAAGGTCAAAGTTACGTGAATTCAAAATGAAGACTTAAGCCTGAAATTCAAACAAAGCAAAATTTCTTCCGAACGGTTTACGGGATGATCATAAAACCTAGTGTGAATTTGTACCATGTTACGAAGATGTTATAAATTTGGTTACGTCATCATGACGTAATGTAAGGGCAAAGTGATGGAAGGGCAAATTTTGACAAAATAGTTAGAGCTATACTTTTGAACTCAGTAGAGTATCGTGTTCGTTTTTTCTTGAGGTTGTAGACTATGCCTTGAGTAACATTTCTTGTTCCCGGACACGAAACCGCTTGACCTTTACTTCCGGTGTTACCGGAAGTGCAATAAAAACTGAATATAACTAGGAAGAGGAAGTATTTTACTACATTTTACTACGTTTTACTATATTTGTTGGAACAAATAAGAAAGCGGCTGCTTACAATAATAGTACTGCTACCACATAATTTCATCATATTTGTTCACCAGGGACTGCAAAATCACAGCTCTTATAAGAATAAACCCAGGGGAGGATCCAGAAATTTGTACAAAATCACACAAAGCATTCAAAACTAATATTCTTTTTTCTGATTTCTTTCGGCGTAACTCGCATATCAACACTGATTCTTTAATTCGTACCTTTATGCAGAAATTTAATAGTTCGACAGTGTAGCCACAAACTTTTTTTTTCGTTATCTCAGTGCAGAAATTTAGGAAGCCCATGCGTGCAAAAGACATAAGCCATTTTATTTTTGATATTGAGATAATCAAATGTTGCATATATTAAGCTCCAAACACGTCATAGAGGCTCCCTCAAGTCTACCGATTCCGATTCTGACCATGAATTCAATTCTAATATTCTCGTCCATTTTCTGATATTTTTCGCCATAACCGATTGAAATCGCACCTCGCCAGTTTTCCTCTCATATCTGAATGCTGAAAATTAATATTTCTACAGCGTGTAGCCACAAACTTTTCTGTCGTAAACTCAGTTAGCATAATTATGTTTCATAATCTTTAACGACGTGAGACGCTCTGTCAATTCTACCAATGTCGTAACTTTAGTGCAGAATTTTATTATGCCCATGCAAAAGACAAAAAAACAAAAAAACAAACCAGCCATTTTATTTTAAGATTAGCATAATTCTGTTGTATAAACTCCAACCACGTTAGAGGCTTCGTTAACTCAACCAATAGTCCCAACTGGTTGTATGCTTGAGTAGCCATCCATGCAGCACCAGATGTGCGCTTCCTGATAGGCCTACAAGTCTTGCCCAGGTAGCAACAAGTTCAACTGCAGGTTGTGTGATTTTCTTTGTGAAAAACACAGAGTAATGGGTGCAGGGTAAAGGGAGGGGTAATGTGCAGTTCAATTATGATTAAGTCACTGTAAACACAAGAAAATATGCCAGCCCGACCACTCTGCGTTTGTAA